ATTTTAATTTGATACTTAGTTTTTTTCCATTATCTTGAGACTGTTGATTTAAAAAAGTCAACAGTATAACTGCACATGTTTAAATGAAACCTACAACAAAATTAATTCTCATCCTTCTAAAGTCTTGTGGCGTTCCAACATTCTGTAATTTAAATTCTGACACTATTTCATGGTGATAAAACCCTTTTTCTGGGTTGATGGTGGGCTGGAAACCAGTGCTCACTGAGGACACCTAGTGGTCACTCCCACTAATAGCAGGTTTTAAAGAAGAGCTGAAGGTTACTTTAAGGGAAGAAGAACATGCAGCTGTAGGACTCAGATCTGGAACAGAGAGCTGCTGTTTAACTCACTGATGATGTGGTTTATCAAACGTTTGACAGGATCTTTACATTAAGATTGGACAGACAGATAGAAACTAAAAGTCAGATGGCTCGTGTGTTTTTGGTCCTTTTTCATTGATGTAATGGTCTATTTTTCATTCCACCATGAAGCAGGAGGGTTTAACATTTCAGTGTTGATGGGGGCTGGAGGAAGACCATCAGTATAAACCTGTGTGTGCAGAAACCAACAGCACTTCTTCTCTCAGAGCCCGGTATCCATCATGTTTCAGGCGGTAGGGGCGGTGCTCCTGTGCTCCAGCGGTGGCAGTCACCTGCTGCGTGCTCCAGACAGTGCAGCCGGGGCCAGACGGGGTTGAGGTGTCATTTTATGTTAGCCAATAAATTAAGCCCCCATTACACGAAACCCAAGCCTGAAATGAATTTCATCTGACTGCAGATCTCTTCCTTTGCACTTTACTCCTCAGATACCACTTCAATAGTGCTCATTTGGAACGGAGACATGGGTGAAAAACAATCTGATTTGAAAATACAGCGTTACCCTCTGGGCTGACGGCAGAGCGGGGAGTGTGGTGTGCAGCGAGGGGCTTTGATTCAACATCTCTGAGCTTTACCCCGACACCTGATCATCCCAGAGAGACGCTGGGAGGGACACTTAGCAGGAAACATACATTTAACAGTTTGTAATTTGACTAAAATATTTAGAGGTAAAATATGTAATGAGGGGAGAAGACTGAGCGTGATGGTTGGGGGTCTGTTGGACAGTCTGAGGCTCTGGCCTGTGGAGCCAAAGTCTTGGAAAGAGAAACAAGTGATTCTTCTCCTTCTGCTGGAGCTGTTTTTACTGGTTTTTCCAGTTTTGTGGCGGCATGGCAGAGCTCTGGTTAGAGCTGTTGTCTCACAACAACAAGGTGGCAGGTTCTGCTTCAACATTCTGTTAAATAGTTTTCATGTTCACTCCATGCATGCATGGGTTTTCTCTGGTTTCCTCCCACAAACCAGAAGATTGTCAGATTCATTAACAACTCTGAAAACATTTCTCTAGGTGTGAGTGTGTGCATAAATGGTTACGTCTCTATGTGGTCCTGTAACAAACCCACAGCAGGGGTTAAAATGAAATGGGTTTATGAGGGAAATGTTTCAACCTTGTTAGGAGTCCCCACACCCAAAATGTTTAAGAACCTCTGCTCTACTTCAATTACTGTAAGTTTATTTATTCAATGTAGTCATTTGTTTATTTATCAGTTTGTACAGTTATATGTAACTTTTAAGATTTCCTAATAAAATAGTTTCCTAGGTTCCTTCTGTTTCTGCAAATCACCATCATTACTGTAATATTTATTGTTATTAACGTTTAACCTTGTTTTTACACTTTTAACTTTTAAACTTGTTTTGCATCAAAGTTGTGACCGGTTGACCTTTTTTTTGTAAAAATAAATTGAAATCATTTAAAATACAAGATGAAAATTCTTACTTCTTGAGCCACAGCTGCAGAACAGTCCAGGATGGGGACAGGTTTTCTCTCTTCATAGTACTGCAGCCGTTCATGGATCTAAAACCAAACAAATAAAACATTTTGGGCCAAGAAGGAAAAAAATGTGTTTAATTGAAACTATTTCAAACTGAAACCACTCTGATGTTCTCCATCTCAGAAAACCTCAGCTTCACTGCAGTGCAAACAATCCAGTTTTCCACTCTGCATCTGAAATGTCCTCATGAGACATCCAAACCCGTTCAACAGTCGGGTTAAACTGGTCGAACCTTTTCTTATCGACCTGAACATTAAAGCTGAACAAGACTGAGAGATGAAGCTGGATCTCTGAGGAGTTTCTGAAATGGAAAGTGTTCCCATTTACAGAAACTTTTCATCGCTCCACAGCTGATGTGTAGAGCAGAGATGGAATATTTACACACACACACACGCACACACACACACACACACACACACACACACACACACACACACAC